TGTATAAATGACTGAAAGTCATTCATATTTGTGTGTGTGAAAATTATTGAATAATATACATTTTATTTAATTCAGATAATTGTTTCAAGTCATAACATACAATAAAATACCAAAAACTAATTCAATGATAGAGAATCTTCATGGCCATCCTCCTGAAAAGTTTTCTTGAAGCGTAGCATTGCTCATTCAAAATAATTATATTTTTATTGAAGTGCAAGTGAAAATTGTTACATGGGATACAATTGTCACTTACTTTAACTTGCACCTTTGTAAAAATGTAAATACTTTTAAGTTGTTCCTACTTAAAAGTAATTTTTCCAACACAATACACATGCCCTTCACACATACAAGTGACCTATTTGAGAGATTATAAGCCACGTTATTATATTTGTTACACAAAATGTAACAATCAGAAATTTTTCTTCTTCATCGCTTGAGCGACGGTTTGTTCGCTCGAGCAGTCTTGCGAGTCATTCAGTACTTTTGCAGGTCTAAGATTCTGGGAGTGTACGTTCTACGCGCGAGCGAAGGGTTCATAACTCGAGCGGTCTTGTGTCTTTGACGTTTGAGCACAAGTTTCATCGCTCGAGCAGTCTGTTCAAAATCAACACTTTAAAAAGTCACTTTTTGATCAAATCTAGATCATTTTTCTTTCTCTATTTCCTTTCTTTCCTCTATGTCCGAAAATCCTAAGCTCTTAAGGTTGGATTTCATCTCTTTCCACTCAAAATCTCACCATAGTTCCATATACCAAAACGTAGAACACAAAGAAGGCTTTCAAGTAATCTGAACATATCATGTTTTCATTGACGTTGGATTTCTAGGCTTTCTCATCATCTTGCTAGAGGTAGAGATTTCTTTGCTTCTTTTCAATACTTCTTTATGGATAGGCATGTCGTATATTTCTATTGCATTAAAAGTACGATTTAGTTATGTGATTTCAAATTCATAAAAATGGATTTTTGGATTTGAGTTGTGGAAACTGAAATTGTATATTTTGGGAGGTTTTGGTGTATTAGAAGCTAGTCTGTCTTATTTATGTTTTGAATGGAGGAAAACCCTAAAGGTTTGATGAGATGAAAAGGGAAAAGTTGAGTAATAGTTATGTTATGTATTATGTGGATGGTATTAATGTAGTAATTTCTAAAAAGGGAGTTAACCGAGATATTGAGATTGTTTTGAGAAATATATGTTGAGTTGAGTTGATCTGGGTTGTAATTTCGGTTCACTATGGATTGGGGATTATTAAAGAAAGCAAATGAATTTTGGGAACATGGTTGGAGTATTGTGAGTTGGGAAAATAAGGAAATTGATTTTGAAAAGAAAATAATTGAGAATAAACGAGAGGTTGAACATTTGAACATTTGATATAAGTTATTATTGTTGTTGGCCTTATGTCCCATGATATTTGGACAATTGTAGTTGTGAGTATCAAATACACGTGCTTAGAGATTTTGTTATTGGTCATCAGTGAATGATGATATTGATGTGTTGAATAAATTATGTGCATGTGTTACATTTGTGTTGTCATGTTTTTTAGCATGTTGTGATGGTTGGTAATGTATGCTGCACTGAGAATAAGAGATATCATTACCTTCTAGCTAGCGCTTGGAGAATTTGCTGCACTTAGAATAAGAGGTATCAGTACCTTCCAGCTAGTATCTGGAGAACTTGGCAGAGGTAATATTATACGTTCCAACTTGTGTCTAGTAAATTGGCAGATGTACCATTATTTTTCAGCTTGTGTCTAGTAAAATGGCATTTCAACATGGAAAGGTGTATCATTTGCATATTGTGCTTGAGACAGGTAGAGCATGGGTTGGTGTTTCAGTGTTGAACTGGTTTATCTGTGTATATCGTATGTGGTAGCAACTTGGTTGATAAGGTCTGGTTGTCTCATATGATTGTGTAGTAGTCTTAATATTTACGTTATTTCTTTCATGTTAAAGATATTGTGCAAAAATTTGTGTGTCGAACGGGTTGTAGAAATATTTCATTACCATTGGTTTAGGGCTTGGAAATGTGATTCATGTACTAAAAATGTTGGTATTTGATGGGTTGAGAGTGTAAGGAATGAAAGGTGATTGAATTGTAAAAACTTTCTTGAAAATGCGTTGCTAATATAGGTTCCTTCTAAAATGGATAATCTAAGAGAAGGGAGAGAGAACGTTATGTATTATTGAGCAAATAGGCAAATTTTTTTTTAAAAAAAAAGTATATATTAATTAGTATACTTTGATTATAAACCGTTACATTATTTATATTGTATGATATGAAGCATTTATGATCATAACTATCTGTATGTTATTATTGTTTAGGATCATGTTAGGATTTCTATTGAGTTTTATACTAATCCCACGTCGTTAATCTTTTTTCAGGTGCAGGTTAATAAATGATACAAGATCGGTGATCTTCATTACATGTTGGCTATGGGACTTTTATTTGTTGGTGGAAGGCCTTTACTGTAATGAGGATTGAACCATTTCTCTTTATGTAACAATGTAGCCTACGGGCAACTTATTTAATTGTAATTCATGTTGCATTTTGTTATATGTATGTTGTAAGGCCCCGGTGTCCCACATTGAGAATGGAGGGGGAGTTCCTAGACTATAAAAGTAAAAACCTAGACCCTTGTATAGCATCGAGACCTTTTCCCGGGTGGTAAAATCTCTAACAAAACTCCACAGTTAAGCATGCTTAGGCTGGAGTAGTTCTGGGATGGGTGACCCACTGGGAAAAACAAATCCGTGCGGGCGTGGCCCAAAGCAGACAATAACGATGACGTGTAAAGGGTTAGGGCGTTACAAATGGTATCAGAGCCGACTCTCCGGAGTACCGAGTGTAGGCCCCTGGCGTCTCTCGGTGCATGTGGGCGGGCTTGTTAGCTGGCAGGCTACTACACGGGGACGTGCAGCCTTAAAGGGGGTGGATTGTAAGGCCCCGGTGTCCCACATCGGGAATGGAGGGGGAGTTCCTGGACTATAAAAGTAAAAACCTAGACCCTTATATAGCATCAAGGCCTTTTCTCGGGTGGTGAAATCCCTAACAGAACTCCACAGTTAAGCGTGCTTAGGTTGGAGTAGTTCTAGAAAGGGTGACCCACTGGGAAGAACAAATCCGTGCGGACGTGGCCCAAAGCGAACAATAATAATGACGTGTAAAGGGTCAGGGCGTTACATATGTACAATTGAGAGAACTATTTTTGTAATTATGGACGTTAGTAGACTTGTTTTCCATACTGTATCAATGAAAATGGACTATAATAATAGATTTTGGTAATGATAACCGTGTAATAAAAAGTTGGTCATGACACAAAATATCTTATTCATATTTAAATTAGATATCACCCAAAAAACCAAATAAATTCTCATTATATAAGTAGAAATTATCACATAGATCTAATATATCACTTGATTGTATACCATCTTTTTATTTTTTTTCAATTCTATAAGCATTTAATTTTTAATACTGATTGGAGACACTATCAAATAAAATATTCTCAAAATACATGATAACTAGCTATATAGGTAACTATTTATCAACCTCAATGGATTGGCCTAGTAATTTGAGATCTAGGTCAATTAGTAAGATTTTAATTTGGTGCACGAAAGCGGGCCAAGAATATATAAATAACAAGTTAGTATAACCAACTTAGTTCAACAAACACAGGAGTAATTGTTGGGTACTCTTGGAGTACAACCACTTAATGATTTAGAGATGTTGTGATTGGTGGAGAAAGTAAAACCCATAATTTTATATGAGCATTGCTATTAACCCTGACCTTTCTTCTTAACCCCTACCGTATTCATTTTTTTTTAATTCCAATTTTGTCCCAGTCTAAAATTTCACTTTTACCCTCATTCCTAATCTTCTAAACCTAGTTTTTCAAACTCAAACCTAACCCTAATAACCTCTGGCAATACCACCATCTCTGACCACCTCTCGTCGCCGCAACCACCACCATTTCCAACCACCCCTTGTCATTGTAACTTCTACCATCTTTCACCACTTACTATCACAACAACCGCTCCCTCCGTCACAATCAGCCATCACCTCCATTGACAAGCACCCTCATCCCCTATTGTAGATTTGAATCATAGAAAAGAGATCAACCCACTCAGGTCTGTGTTACATTGAACTAAAAGGATTCATTCAGCACTATGTTTCCAAACATTCAGGATTCGTTCAACATTGTGTTGTTGAACATTCAGGATTTGTTCAGTACTGTGTTGCCGAACCCACTCCGCCATCGTGACCTCCCTAACCATTGCGAAAGAGAAGAAACAAGAAAGATGGAGAGAGAGAGAGAGAGAGAGAGATGAAAACCTAAGGTTTTCAAAAAGAAGATGAAGAAGAAAAGAGAGAAGAGGGAGAAGGAATACAAGAAATCACTCGCCATAGCCTGTGGTAGAGGTTTTAATGGTCACCATTGTATGGGTCTTTTCTCTTGCTTTGTTTCTCACTCATACGTTGTTGTTGTTGTTGTTGTTTTTTTTTTTTTTTTTTTTTTTTTTTTTTGGGAACCAGCACTCATACTTGATTTGAATGCAAGAAAACAAAGAGAACAAAGAGAGAATCCAAATTAGAGAGAAAAGTGGAAGGGGTTACGATCTGGGTTTAGACTTGGGATTAGGGATATAGTTGATATTAAGGTGGGGTTTAAAAAAAAAAATGTAAAGGTTTCATTTTGCTGAATGGAGGTTTAAAGAAGTGGATAGGCCAAAATAATTAAATGGGAATAAATATCAATTCTCTTTTCTATTGAACAATTGAAAAATATAATAACCATAATATAATAAAAAGTATGAACACTGTAGCACTAAACTAGCACCTAATAAATTTTCTCACACACACAGACATCATCATCACACAAAAGATGCACCAAGTACACAACCAGATAAGATACTCCATGTTCTAACAATTTTTTATGGAACTAAAAAAAGAAAAGCAACCATTATCTATCTTCCTCGATATCTTAACAAAATCCACAACTTTGAATGTCTTCCACCAAAGAAATCAAGTTCACATAAAAATTCAATAAGATTGAACAACACCAATATAATATACTAGTAAAAAAGATGGAGAGACCAACCTTTAAAGCACTAAAGCAGACATTTTTAGACTCTCACATCCTCGCATTCACACTCCTGATCATTTGTTAAGTCGATTGCCAAAACAAAAAAACAAAAAAAAACTTCACAGAAAGAAACATTAAAAACCTGTCCAATAAAGGCATACACTAGGAAATACTTAGATATAAGTCTAAGACTACTAGCTTTCTTGCTCCACAGCCGTTGATCACACCAGCCTGCAATTCTTGACCATTGATCATGTCAACAATAGTGTTAGGAACACAGATAAAAATCACATAATGAGACAGTATAAATATCTCACAAAAGGTGAGTTACACACATTTATATCTCATTATGTGGTTCTCATATGTGCACTTATCCTTATTGTTAGACTAATGGGTTTGTTGTGGATGGTCCATAACCGTTCATCAAGCCGGTCCATGATCCGAGTCCCCCATTGAGATACCCAAAAGAGTCCTTCCCAGCGTCAGAACAACCTTGGTCTTGCCAATCAAGAGACAAAAGCTTGGTATTTGGCTTCACATCCATTGTATTTTGATGATGATCCTCATGATTCACTTCATATGGAAGCATTAACCTCTGGCAACTCATATCCATGAATGGTCCAGGTCCACCACCACTATTCCCATCAAGAGACATTCCAAAAGGAGAAGAGCACAGTGCATGAAAGTTTGGTCCACCCAATCCATGGTGATGACTCATCTCACCACCAAGCCCACCACCCATCATACCCACCTCACCACTCCCCATAAAATCATGGCTTCTTGAACTCTCCTCCATAAAATCAATAGCCCTAGGGTTTTCAAGCATGGCGCCATACTTGCTCTCCAAGAAACTAGGGTTTCCACTTCCAATCCCCCCATGGCTCCCAATCAAGTTTGTGAGGTGAGAGAATTGAACCTCAGGGAAGGAGAGCTGGAGATCAGTCGGACTGCGAGACGATGAACCCGGGTTTTGTGGGTTGCTCATAGATACATTATTATTATCATTTGATTTCTTGGAGGAAACTTTTTTGTTCTTTCTACACCCACCCCCAACAGGGATGTTCCTCAGTGTGCCTCCTTTGGTCCAGTACCTCCTACAAGTCTTGCAGAAATACCTTGGTTGAGAGAGGCTGTAGTTGTTGTAGTAACAGAACTTGGTGTGGGTTGAGTCACACCTAGGGCACTTTAGGGCTTGGTCATGTTGTGGCCTAACCCTCCTCTCCATTAAAGGTCTTGAGCAAGTGAGCATGTCACCAGATGGTGATGAAGAATCCATTCCAGGGTCATCGTGAATCGTGCCCTGACATATATGTTTGAATGTGTCAGAATTGTATCACAATAATGCAATGGAGGACTAGACTAGGTAATGTTACAAATAAATCTAAATCATTCATTTATGTGAGTTGAGAAATGATAGTTGTCTAGAATTCAAACACTAAAAATATACATAAAATATAATGTGTAACAGAGCTTTATCATGAGTGTTATGTGAGTTATATTTGAAATGAAATTAAATCACATAATATATTTTCTATGTTTTTTGTTATATTTTAATTTTGTGCATACATTACTATTAATGTGAGTCACAAATAGATCACACATAAATGAATTATCCAAATTTATTTATAGCATGTACACGTCATTGCCATCCACATGTAAATAATTACTCTGAGGGCTAGACATTCTTTGTCCTTTTCAGATATCAATAAGAATGTCTATAAACTAAAAATTCCAAGATGTTAACCCCACCTGACTCTGATTTTCAGCAATGATATGTACAAAATTGAATGTAGATAAATTGCACGAATCAAATTTATTTTAGGTGTAAATTAAACCACACAAAATTTAAAAAAAAAACACTATTATTTCAAATATGGATATATTTCCAAATACAAATCATTTATGTTTTATTTCTAGTGTCACTAGATCGCATGAGAATAAGAGTTGAACTACTTTATATAAGCAATTTTAGTACCCTGGAACTGTAAGCAATGGGAGTGCATAGTCTCTTTTACCTAGATCTTAGACCATGCTGTCATCAAAATTAAACTTTGGAAAATAAAAATAAAATCTGAGGATGTTAAAAAACTTTTAGAAAATAAATTGAAGTATTGAGATTTAGATGATGATGATGATGATGATGGGGGGTTGTGTGCGCATGATTCTCTGTCACATATCTCTTTATTTATTTATTTTAATCTTAAAACACGTATCACCATTAAATTAAGTTGCAAAATTTAATTTTCAATGTTTGAAAATGAAGAAATAAAAATTGAAGAATGCATGGTATACCTGGAGCCAATCAGATGAATCCATGCACACTTGAAGAGAAGTAAAACCCATTCGCCTAAATTTAGCAATAAAGAGAAGCAAATTAAGTGATCATAAACAGCTCACTCCAATCCTTTTACGAACACTTCATCACAATCCTTCTCTTTGAGTGCTCTATGAATTGAGAGAGAGAGAGAGAGAGAGAGAGAGAGAGAGGTTGGTTGGTTGGTGTTGAATGGAGTTAGGGGAAGAGGGGGAAGGGAGGGGGCAGAGAGTTGGGAAATAAGAAGGGAAGAAAAAGGGAGAATGGTGGTGGTGGGGAGCAGCTTAGGTTAGCATGGCACCGTCGGTGGCAAGTGGGGGAAGTTAAGTGGGCCACCACACTGTCTACCTACTGTCTCTAAACTCTCTCTATACCCCCTGCCCTACTACTACTATCTACTACTACTGCTGCTGCTGCTGTTAGCTCAGCTTGACTAGATCACTATGACTCTGTCTCAGTTGGCCAACCAACGGCTCTGATTCATTCACACTGCAGTCTTCCCCCGCATATAGTTGGGAGGGGGGGACAAGGAGGGCCGTTGATGATGGCGTTTGGTGTTGCATTTTCTATGTCAGAAATCACGGCGTCTTACCAAGCTCTCACTATCTCTAAATTATCGAGTACTCTCATGTTTATTACAAGAATTAATTGTGATTGGATTAATAATTTATGAGATTATTGTAAGATTGATTATTTAATTAGAATATGAGGTTTTTTTATTTTTGTAACAAAAAAAAGATGTTTTGTGGTATTATCATCGCATCTGTGGATCCTAATTTCGGAGTAATCAGTTGCCTACCAGATTTAACTCAACTCACATTGAGGCATTAGTGGAGCTCAGCCATATACCACAGAAGAGTTTAAGGTCAATAAGAGTACAGTGTGAGATCTCAAAGAGAACCAACTGAAAATTTAGCTATTTTTCATACCCTAAGATTCGAACCTAAGTCACCTCTGTGGAGAGAACTGTTTTCTCCACTAGGCCATAGCCCCGATGACATATTTGTTTAATTTAGAACACAAAAATTTTAACTAAACAACAAAATGTAATTTTTCAAGTTTTATGGATTAATAATCTCAATTTAATGGTATAGTCCATCCAATTAAACATGTCCTTCAAATATATGGTAATGGGTGCTGCTATTTAGGCTATGTCTGGCATGGATTACTTTGGCTATTTTAGTCACAAAAAGACAAAATAAGCTAAAAAAAATCAATAAAACAAATTATCACATCCAAATCATAATCATTTCATTTTTTTTCTCACAAAAGTCAAAAAAATTCATCACAAACAAAGCTTTTTAACATCAAGTTAAAATAGCTAAAAAACCAACTCACATCCCAAACAAAAACTTAAATTCAAAAATTAGATCAAATCTAATGATGTGACACATTATTTTAGAATATTTAAGGTAACTCGATCTCTTTATCATATTTTCTCTAATTATTAATTAATTATTTTACTTACACATTTAGGATATAATTAAAAAAATGTTTTAGAAAATGGATTTGTATGTGATTTTTCTATGATAATATTTACTTGATATTCTTGGTTAATGCAAAATCGTAACACATATTAAGTAGATAGATTTTTTAAGTTATTTATAAAAAAAATTAATTTTAAAAGTTTAAGATAGACTATAATGTATAATTTGTGCATATAATTTATAGGTAAAAATAGCTTAAATAATTTAATTTTTTTTTATTATTTGAAAACTATGGACAGTTATTTCTTATATATGATTATCAATTTTTAACTTATAATAAATTACATTAAACGGGCCTAAAGTGAGCCAATATTATTCTAAACATAAAATTTTGTGTTACATACATTATTGGTTGACAATATCACACGAATAATACCACATAATACTTTAAAACCAATTAAATTTTATTTACAAACAAATTCTTATGACATAGTAAGACTCGTAACTTTAATATTTGAAACTTATTGTTTTAGGCCTTGTTTGGGATGGTGATTTTTTGGTTAAAATAGTTTAAAAAATCAAAATATTCAATCATATTACTCTCTTTATTTTTTTATAATTTTTTTCATAAAAGTAAATTAAAATAATTATTTTTCAAATGAACTCTTAGACATAGAACAATTATAATCTATGTTTTATTTACACACTTTAAAAATAAATTAAATGAATTTATTTTTCACAAGGACAATCCAACTCAAGATCCAATTTCCAAGTCTATTAATGTGATAATTAATTAAGACATTAAAAATAATATTTTCTCTTCTATTTTTTTTAATTATTAATTAATTATATCACTCATGTTTTATTAAATTTATAAAATAAATTTTAAAAATAAATTTATATAACATTTTCCATCTAATAATGACATGACATAATTGAGAGAATATTTGGGAGTCTTCGAGGGCCGTGATAAAGAAAGCACAAAACAAAACAACAAAAACAAAGGGAGCAAAACCGAAAGAGCACTCCACTTGTGGGCCATCTCTCTCTCTCTCTAACATAGTAGTACTACACAGTTGACCCCACTCGCTCGCCTCGTTCAAGCAAAGGATAAATTCCATTCTCACGTGTCTCCTCCTGTGATTGCCACGTGTACATTTACTTCGTGAACCCTTCCATTAGAGCAAGGATCCTCTAGAGTGATTTTTTCCTAAAGTTTCCTAGAGTGCTACATTGTGTGGTTGAGATTTACTGGCAAGTCACATCAATTTTTCTGATGTCACTTACCAGTAAATCTCAACCATACAATGTAGCACTCTAAGAAACTTTAGAGAAATTTCACTCTAGAGGATCCTTGGTGTTCAATTAGATAATTTATGGTTTGGTTTTGGAATACCGTCACGTGGTGTTAGTATTATTACTGATGAAAGAAGTGAAGTTTATAAATTTATTTTAAGTAATTAAAAAATATGAAAATTTATAATTAATGAGAGACAGTATCATGTAATGCCTCAAGAGTACCAAATAATTTTTCCTTCTATACTGCTCCCTCCCAGATCAAATATGTTGAATTTGGGACCATTGTGAAAGTAGCAGAGTCTAATTTTGTCAACATTAGTATGCAACTTTGTTCCTCTTTCTTTTTGGTCATTCAAGAGATTCATATCACATAAAAACATTTTTAAATGCAAATTTAATTTTGATTTAAAAATTTTATCTAATTTTACCCATTATATACTCTAGAGTTTTGATCTCATAACTTAAGTGTTGTTTGGGGTATATTTTTTGGTTAGAAAAACCAAAAAACCACAACCCAAAAAAAAAAAATCAAAACTTACAAATTCAACCACAATAGCAATAGATTGTACATATCAATTAATTAATTTTTTTCTCACAACTATTTTTATTCAACCAAAATGATCATTCTCAAATATATATTTTCCACCTTATAAAAAAATTAAAAAAAGCAAGTTCACAAACAGGCACTTATTAGTTATGTTGAGTGGAACTAAAATCTTTCCAAACACAATTCTGCAATGTTAATCCCGCAAATTGGTGAATCGAAAGTTTGTCAAATGAAAAATAATAAGTGTACAGAATTTTACATAAAAAAAAAAATTTATACAAGATAATATATTAATAACATCTTTTGTAATTATGCTTCAATTTGATAGAGTTTTTAATCTCCAAACAAACATGGCCTAAGGGTATAACTAGAAAGAATAATGAGTTAAACTAAAGCCAATCCTCATCTCTCATTTTGAAGTTTTATCATTAATTGTAACAAATCTTGACTAAAACCTTATGGCTAATGCATACATTTAATTAATCGGATTTTCTACTTTGAAAGTTTTTACGGGTCAAGTTTGGATGACAATGGCCCTGTTTGGTAGAGTTGTGGGAAAATATTTATAACTTATGCCTTAACAGCTTATAACTTATAACTATAAATATAAGCTGATTTCTGACATATAAATTAAGCATCACCTGCCCCACTCAAAGAATAAGTTGATTTCTGACTTATAAAAAGTTATAAGCTGCATTGTTAAGCTAAACCAAATACATCAAAATAACTTAAATTAAGCTAAAAGCTGAAATAAGTAACTTTTTAAGCTGCACCAAACAGGCACAAATGGTCTACCAAAGAGAGTATGATTTTTAATTTAATTGCAATAATATATATGTAGCCATCATAAAACACGAGGAGAGGATGTAGCATAGTATATGCATGCAAAGTTTGAAATGAACTTTAGATGGCGTGTAAAACACGCATGAGTGGAGCCAAACACAACTCAAATTATTATTATTTTATAATAATGTCAGGTGAATAAAGAAAGATATGTCTCTGTCCCTGCATTAAGCCGTACACATGACAGATTTAACTGCTAACAAATGGAGATCGTATTATAAATTTAAAAATTATCTAAAAATATCAATATATAATTTAGATTTAATTTATGCATAAATTTTATAATACATATTTTGAATCTTCACCTTACACTGAGAATAAAAATCTGAATACCTAGACATAATGGGTAATATATGTGTCACAGTACCTTTTCTATATACAATCAATTACCATGTTAATACAATTTTTTTAACAAAATTTTTTATTTGAATTCTAATCAAAATATTCACTATTTTATCTCATAATTTTAAAATTGCCACCATTATATTATGAGATATTTGGTCAAAACTCACTCATAACAAAATTTTAATGAATTAAGGATAAACACAAAAAAAAATTCCTTAAAAAGTCTAACAAATATCACTATTATCAAAATATAAAACTTTAAAATAATATAATTTTTGATGTAAATGTCGATTTTTCATAAAATTAATATATTTAGAATTCTCTCATTAAGATAAGATCCATGTTGACTAAAAAAAAAACACATATATTACCGTTAAAATTGATATAAACTATAACAATAACATGTTACTCTGTTTACAATTATTCTATTTGACAATAACATGTTACTCTGGCAATATTGTACAAGAAAGAAAAATAAAATATTTTACTTTGTCCTTACTCAATTATGTGTTTTCTCCTTAGGGGATTTATGAAGAAAAATAAATTGGACAGTCTTTTTTCACCAAATAAGGGTCCAATGAAAGAGTTTTGACTAAATTTCCTTTTTATTATTTTGAATAAATTTTTTGTATGAAATTATTACGTATGACTAAAATTTCTACAATAAACGGATTAAGAAGGTATACCTATTATAATCATTGAGTAGGTGATGTTAGAACATATAATTTATTGTCTGATATCATGTTAAATTCATGAACACACCTCTCACATGTGACTAAACTCTATTTCATAACTGACCAAAAGCGAACAAGTATTACAAATATTGAGGAGGCAATAAGATTTGGACACATGATCCAACCTATTGTTCATTTGTAAGAGAGTGAAGAATTTTGTTCTTTCATCCTTCCCCTTTAAGATAGTGTTTAGTTTATTAGAATGAAATGATCATTATCTTACAATAATGAATGATAATTTTATTTTTTATTTTTATCGACAAAAATCAATTATTAATTGTTCGATTAGTTTTTTTTGGGTGTTGACACTCCAATTTTTCTCTT